AGAAAAGTCCTCGTCTCCTTTAAAATGCTTCATGAGAACAAAACTACTAAAAAAAATGCAGTTCTCGCTACAAAACATGAACTCTTGAAGAAGTGTTGACAACTTTGGCGCTCAATGGTATTTCAACCAGAATCTCATAATGCTCCAACTTGCACCCCAAATATGGATTTTGGGTACATAATAAAATAAATAAAGTGAAATTGAGGTTGAGCAAAACACAAACCTGAAGTAAAGCATATTAGAGCTGCATCTTCAGGTGCATGGAGGAAATCCAGTGGTAGGCTTACTACATGATACTTCTTCAATTCTTCAGAGGTCAAGGCTGGCAAGGTGAAGTTGCTTGCTTTAGAAAGATGGATAAAATCATAGAAGAGAGAAACAGCAAATTGAAATAACATAGAGGTTCCTTCTAGTTTGCTTTGTATGGTAAAAACCAAGTAAACTACACACCTCCCCTTGTTTTATCATAACCCGTTAGATGGGAACCAATTAAGACCTGCCATCTCAAGGAAGGTATGTCATTGTTCCGAAGCTTTGAATACCACTGACAACAGCTCTCATCAATGACCAACATCACTGGCTGCACGGCTACCATTGCAGATATTGCCTCTTCAAAGCTCTACACGTTGAAAAAAATGTGTTTCACGCATGCCAGTTACAGCAAGATCTGCTCAACCGAGAAACAATTTGCATGACTGGTGATACTAATTTTCAAGTTCAGACTCAAGTAGGCTAGTGCTCATTTTATTTGGTGCCACTGTTCAAATTCTTAAATCTAAATAACAAATATCGTTCCTAAAAATTACCAAAGCTTCCTGTTTGCAACCTGTCCTCATTAGAAGACAAAAAGTACCATCTCTAGAAGACGTCGACACAATTATACACATCTAGCACGTTCATTAATCACCACCTTAAGACAGCAACTCGTCGCCTTAAAGATCCTTCAGAACCGAGTACCAATAGATGTATAGCGCACAATTCTTCTACATACAGAAATGCATGCATGCAAGTAGATATGCCTACATGACTTTCAAATACAAAAGCAGGAATGCACGCTGAAATCCATTATTTATCTATATGCATTACGCTTGTACTTTCACATGAACCATTCTTACATTCAACAAAAAGAAAATTTGACATACCCATCGGTAATTCAGAGGAGCAGCAATGCCACCAACAAATGCAACCGCAAGCAACCACTCCAAGTACCAATCACTGCCAGCTAGAAAACTCAAAGTTACAATTCCAACGTCTAAAATCCAAAACACGACCTTTGTTTTCAGTTACCAATTAGGAATCCAGCATACGTCGTTCATCAAAAATTGAAAACAATTACGAACTGAAAGCTGGAAAAAAAACCTGTTGGAAGCAGAGATAACAACAACGTCTCCAGGAAGGAGGCCGAGATCAAGCAAGCCTCGGGCGAGCGCCAAAACACTGTTGACGAACTGCTCGCCGGTCTGGCGTCTGTTGCCGGTAATGGTGAGCGGAGAAGCTCGGTGTGCGGTGGCTATGCGGCTGAGGCACTGGCAGATATGAGAGTGAGAGTAATTGGTCATTTGAGAAATTAGGGAAAGGAGAAGAGGTTGGTTTGGTTCCCCGTTGTTGGTGCGAGAGCCTTGGCTGAGCTCTCTGGTGTTGAACCCGGCCGCACCAGTTTGCGAGCAATTTAAGTGCGTCTCCTTTTTATAGTCTTATCCTTGGAAGCCCGAGGTGTTGAAAGTCACATGGCTGTGGCGTTTCAATGGTCACGGCCAAATCGGAAATCTCCATGACGCTTTCTGATTGGGTGGTCCTTATGCTGTAACTCACAGTAATTAACTATAATTTTGTTCAGTCACGGATCGCCTTCCACTCTTCCTGCGTGGGACAACGGTCACAGCCGCAACGAATAACAATACTGTATTTACCTTTTTTTTCCCCTCCCTTTTTATTCTTTTATTAAATTAAAATATCCTCTCCACCAATAGATTTGCATTCTGCTGGGTGGCCCAATCAAATAGTGCCACGTGCCAATAACATAATATGTATTTATCCATGCTTTTATTGCTCAACTATTTAGTTTTAAATATAATTTATTTTGGCTTATTATTTTTAAAATTAACTAAAAATGTAGTTTCCAGACTTTCCATCAGTCAATTTTCGCCTAAAAATTTAGTTTATGAACATTATTATTAATAATAATAATTAATAATGTTTTGAAACAATAAGAAAATTGATCAATTTTTTAATATTTGAAATGTATTAATTGTTATATTTTTGAATGAATACTTATATATATTTATTTATAAATACGGGGTTTCTATTACCAAAAAAATCATAAATATTCATTAAATTATCTCCGACTTGATCAAAAGAATCAGGTGGGGACGCCATTATTTGGTTAAATAAAAGGTATTTAAATGAAATTGTTTATTTGGTTGAATTTGTCAACGAATCTAATTTAATGTACAATATTGTAATGAACTTGCTTCATTGACTAAACTACGTCGTTTTGTGTAATTAAGAATAATAAATGAAGGGTAAAATAGTAAAATAATAAATTGATGTGTTTCTGTTTGACTTAAATCAAATTTATTACAATTAAATGCAAAAATAAATTAATGATTATCACGTACTTAAAATCTACCTTGAATTAGAAACTCCATTCTAGACGACTATAGTAGTGTGACATTTAGATGTATAAATGGACATAATTTATGTATAATTTCAAGAAAAAATTAGTATAAATTAATAAAAAAAAACAAAAATTTCAATAATATGTTAAATAAATAAATTTTTAACAATAATTTTAACCTCAGCTTATATGGAAACATTTGGTATTTTATTTTAAAAATATGCTTAAAAAGAACATTTACTACAATTTAGTTTAAAAAATACCTATAAGATTTAAAAAATGAAATTATTACCCTTTACTTTATTCACATGGAGACGTAGAATTTACCCGAACGTGTTATTAAAATTTTTTAAAAAATTTAAAATATTTTTTAAAAATTTGTAAGAGTATTAATGAAATTCTTTTAAAAATAGAATCTTTTATCTTTAAAATTTGTGTGAAAGTATAAAATAGTTTTGAAATACAAAATTGATGGTGAGAGGGCTTTGAACTCTTTTTTTTAATTCAAAAGTTTTTTTTTTTTTTTTTTAATTTATAGATATCGTGGAGACTTTGAAAATTTATGAGGTTAGATAAAATAAAAAATTTAAAAGTATTTTTATTTTATTTTTATGTAAAATATAACTCAGCTTATGTTCTGAGGCGAAAAATAAAATAAATAAATCTGAATTTTTAAATAAAAAAAGAAACAATGGGCGTACCATACTTCTCGTCAAGTTACTTTTATATGCTAGTCAATGCATCAAATCCAAACTATTATTAGGGTTGGTACATACCTACAAATCTAAATAATTTTTAATTATATATTATTTTTAAAAGTTAAATAAAAATATATTATTTATCATAATTACTCCAAATTACACTTTTTATTATTTTTTGGACTTATTTTATAGTTCATGTCTTACCGAGAGAGGTTGGACTAGTCCACCTTAGATTGAGGGCGAGGTTCAAACGAAGAATACCTAGGCATCCAGAAATGAGAAAAGGTTTGGGGAGTTGAAAATAAGCGTAGATCTGAAGATTTCCGAATAGGTTTTGCATGATAATTTTTATTTAAAAGAAAAACAATTAAATTTTATATTTATTCAAATTTTTAGGTATGAAAAATTTGCGTCAAAATATGTTTGGCTGATAGAAATGCGATGGTTGAACATTTTCGCAGAAAGCTTTCTCCAAAGTACCAAACAGAGAAAAAGGTCGTCGAAAAAGGAAGAAGGATTTTAAAGCGCTTTGGTTTGCTTCCCCTTTACGCCAAACCCAATCTTCGTCCCATGATTGTTCCTTAACCACTTTCAATCGCTGTTTCCCCTTTCTTCCTTTGCCTAATTCACAAGTTTTTCCGCGTTACAATAGTCGAAGCACAATCGCCTCACTCTTCACTTCGCCCGTTGAGGAATCAACGATTATGATAATTCCGATAACCAGTAGCGGCGATGGCCATGTTCTTGCCACTGATCGTGGCGGTCGCATCCGCGCCGGAGATACGGCCGTCGGAGCACGGGCTGGAGTTTCAGAGCCCTCCGCCTGCGGGAGAAAAATCGTCGCCGGAGATGCGGTCGTTCTTCGTAGGAACATCGTCGCCAACACCGGATATAACATTGCCGTTGCCGAAGGCGATGAATTCGAGCGAGGCGCCGGGATGGTGGACCCACCGTGACGGTGGAGATAAACGAATAAGAAATGCATTATTGGTGGCGACGGCGGCTTGTGGAATTACAGGTGTCACTTTATTAGTGGGTTCTACGCTATTCTACATTTATAAGGTAAAAAATCAAACACCATTGCCATTATCTTCAAATAATAATCACAAATAAACATATCAACCACAATCATGATCCCTTACTTTGTTCATCTCTTGAACTATCGATAAATTTCCCAGTTCCAATTTGTTCTTACCGTATAAGAAGTCGTATTGTATTGATCATGAAATTAGATAACTTTATTGCCATTAATTGTTTGTTGAGAATCTGTCTGTACTCTCACTTACCAAAATAATTTGAGAATATGAATAGAAAAATAAAAAGTTCGTATCATTTTGTTTCTAATTTTGCTTTGCCTCATCCATAAGAAAATAATATTCTCATCTTAATTTTACATGTAATCATAGTAACACATGGAGACTGGAGATATTGAACAGATTTGAGATCAAAATGGTTAGAATAGGAACAAGATAATTATTATATTTAGTTATTTACTACTTTCTTCTTTCAAAAGATATGAATGATGAAATAAAGGTTAAAGCTTTTGGCGTTAACTATGATCATCCCATTGATGATTCTTTTAATTAGGATGGTTCCTTATGATCTGTTTAACTTATTTAAAAACATATTAAAAATTTAAGCCAACAACATATCGCATGGAGTTAGAAGAAGGAGAAAGCAAGTGAAAGAAGTGATCAGATTTTGATAACAGAAAGCACAAAAGTATGGATAGACAAAACTTTCATCTCAGTATAGAGAAGAAAAACAGACCAAAAAAATAAAATTACACAGTACCGTTCTATATAAGAAAGACTATACCAGAAAACTAACCATTTGAACTTGAATGAATTGGGAGGGATTTATATGTACCTATTGTTCAAGAGGCCATCCATTCCAGCTCTAGATCTAGTTCTCCTGATTCCACATTCTGAAGCTTGAGTGTCATCTCTTGCTTCACCTTCCCATCGACAATATTAACGGTGCTATCGTTCATGAGAGCATTATCGTGCGATTTCAGCCATTTTCCAATTTGCATATTTGAAAACAATCCAGCATCTCCAAATGCCATTGCGGATGTTATCAAGGGCTGGAGATCAATGTCTGCTTCTCCCATTATGTCGTCTGCTGAAAACGTGTCATAATCGTATACTTGCTGCAATTTGTTGACAAGAAGCAGTGTAACCGTGAATAACCCCATAGCAATAGATTTTGATATGTGAACGTGATCATGCATCATAATGAGAGGCGATGTCATGACTAGACAACAGAAAGAAACCCAGAAAAAAAAAAAAAGTGTAATTGTTGAGCATCCGAAACGAAGGAATTGAACTTAGCCATAGACCACAGTAATGCATCAGACAAGAAAAGGAAAATGATCGTTCTGATTACGGTTTCTATTGAGGACAAGCTTGGTATAGACAGACTATTTATTAAACCTTGAAAATTACCAAATTTCTTTCTCTCGCATTCTCTTGTGCAGCTGACATGAATTTAAACATGTAAATTGTCATTTCAATAGCAAGAAAGATACGTTAGTAGCAATAAAATGGCAGTCTGGCCACTATACTAATGGCCAGCGTATGAGATGTCAGTTAATCCCCATTTGCTAAGTGCATGGAGCAGCCTTTTAGGCTTAGAATTTCAACAAAACACGGAATATTCTACATTGTGTGCTGCAGATAAAATAACTTAGAGCCACGGTAGTTGTCAACCGAATACCAATATACCCTTCTTTTCAGAATTGATGGATGGGTACTTCTGCATTAACCGACGTGTGCTATATCTGACATCGAACTAATTGGACGAGCATCTAAAAACACACTCACCATTCAAACAAGATGACAGGTATATTACCAGCACCAGTGAGCATGGAGCTAGAACTAATAAGAAAAGTAACTCGAATTCTTCAGCAGACTAACAAAGAAAAAAAATTATAACCATCTCATACAAAATGCTTCCATACTGAATATGGGTAGAAGGTAGATTTCCGGATGGTAATTAAATTAATTGATGGGAAACAAACTTGCAGTCATTATGTTAAGATTAGCATGATTAGTTAAGAAGGGGAGACCATGTAGAAAGAGCTTCAGAAAGACTTACCAACTTTAAGGATCCAAAAGATTGAGGTACAGATAGCGTCAGTTCCTCATTCCACACAGGGTTCAAGTTGCTCGCGACTACACATGTCTGGACAGTCTAAAAGAAAAAACAGCATAATGTTATAGTCTTTATCAAGGTGATGGAACAGAGCAATCAGTACTTATTAACATAATCAAAATCTACGGCAACAATTAATTTATAAGTAGATGGACATCTACGGCAACAATTAATTTATAAGTAGATGGACAGCAACACGAAGGACTTGTTCACAAAAAAGTTTGCGAGAAAACTACTAACCTGTCGTCCAAGAGTCAAGACTACATAAGGATCGCTTGTCATCATATCCCTGATAGCTAAGTTTGTCCCTTTAATCACTTTGACCTTCAATAATCCAATAAAGTCTACCATACCTTCCTGCAATTGCTTTAAATTATAGAGCTAGCAGAGTTTTGGTAATATGAAATAAATAAACTTATGCTATAGGCTAGATCGTCATTACTCATTAGTCAAAAACTAATTTATACTTCCACATCAGAAAGTATTTCCAATATGCCCTGAAAATGTTTATATGGTAACCAAGCATGAAGTGCACGTTTCTTCTCTAAACTAAATCTTAGGAAGAAACTTGTGAAATGTTATAATGACCTATGATTATGATGATGCTGTCTTCACTAATGAAGGTATATAATTGCAGGAAAACTAATAAAGAAACGATATAGCAAGAGCTCACTTGTTTTTGTGAAGAACGAAAACTGTTCATGACCCTTGTAGCAAAGTTTGCTTGGATATTGCTTTTGTCAGAGTGGGCTGATGAAATTCTCAAGCTCGGTTTCAGAAATTCTTGAAGTTCATATTTGGATCTGTATAGGAAAATTTATAGGAACCACAAGAAGTGTGAGATTCTTGAAAGTGACCATTCATTGAATCATTTCTGTTGGAATTTTACTCATAGATGACTATTTCCTATTGAATTCAATGCCTGTTGATCAGCTCTCAGCATTCAAAACAAAGTAATATGGGACCAGATGAAATAATATCCCAAAAGTCCAGAAACAAAGAACAAATATAATAAGCGTTGATTGTTAAACTTCAATAGAAAAAGGCAAGTCAACAAGTACAAGGTTATTGAGAGAAGATGAATAAGAAGAAGAGTCACTTAACATGGATAAATTTCACAGTTAATAATTTCTAACCGAATAAATCTTGAACGTTGTTCATGGCTGGCATCTGGTCCAGGTTTTGAAAATCCATCAGGAATAAAGGCTTCATAAATTGCATTTGCAGAAGAATTTCCTCCAATTTCTATCATAGCATCAATTTCATCATCATTCCATTCATCCAATGTCACTGATAACACCTGGCCCAAATCAATAACCATGTCAGAAAAATATGTGCACTATTGTATTGTTAAATAGAAAATGAAAATCAAGAACTTGGAAATGTCTTGCAAAAGATATACATAATGAAAGTAAGAAGTAGAGTAATTATAGATCACACGTTTATGTTTTACACAACAGGTACCGTTTTTGTTGGAAATTAAAATGACAGAAGTTTTACAAGTCAAACTCGACATATCCCTCGTGTAAAACCCACCTCCCCAATGAAGGAGATTTGATATGCTTGGAAATTTATTAAGAGACGAAAATAAAAGAGTGGGGGAAATTTTTTTATTTCTCAGGTGATAACACCGTTGATTACTGCATATCAGGTGCACTTTTTTTTTTTTTTCACCTTTGATATATGTGCACCAAGGCTTCTGTGAACGCCGCAACATTTCAAGCATATAAAAACTCCAATATTTGCTGACCTGCAAAGAACATCCTCCTAAATGTTATTGAGACTAAAAGAATAGGCATGGAGCACAGATCCAATTCAATAATCTGAGTGTGCAATCATTAACTAGTAATTTCTAGTTCTCCAGCAGGGTATAACATTTCATTCTATTTGACAACCAATCGAACAAAACTTACGCCCATTTAGGGTCTGAAGCGCGACAATCCGCACAGAAGCGATTATCCTTTAGGAGCAATAGGTCCCTTAGCCTTCTTTTGCCTGAAGAAGACAAGAAAAGGCCTAACATTATTTTCAAGGCCACAATAAATACAATTTATGCATGTGTAGCAAATAGTTTAATTTGTTAATATATAGTTGAAACTCCAATTTCAGTGAGGATACCACCTGAGCCAGGCCTCCCAAGTTCCATTGTACAATTATTTGTGGCTCTGTCAGTAATCGACGATCATCCAACGAATCCTATGGTTCAACAAGCTGCCTTGAATAATTGGACCAAAGAAAACAAAAACAAAAACAAAAACAAACACAAGAACAAGAACAAGAACAAAACACTAAAAAGACCCCTTATACTCTGAACCAACATAGATACAAATTTACATTAACGCTTCTTTTGATAATTAACAAAGAATAATAAGGATTCGGAAAAGGATATAATATGCATTGGGAAAAGGATATAATAGAACAAAATCAAACAATGCTGTCAAAATTGATATTGTACTAGTTCAAAATGAGGCTGCCATCAGCAAGGGGGCACCCAAATTCTTCAATTGGAGGATTTGCATATCAAAGATGACTCAGTCCAAGGAAAATGAAAGTGAAAGAACGTTTTAAAACCTCAGATGCGATCCTTCCAATGACGAGAATATACTTGAGATTCCTATTTTGGTCTAAAACAGAATTTACAAGCGCCAGAAATTATATCCTCTCAGCACTCAAACATTCAATGCGGTTGATACATGCAGAAAGAACTAAGCTCAAAAGTTTCCAATAACAATCAATCGCAAACAGGAAGAGGATTCGTGTATAATCTGGCAAAGCAGCCACCAAATAACCAATCAGAGCCGCCTGAACAAGCAACCCAGAATAACAATATACCAAAATCAACGCGATTGATAAAGATTGACAGAGTTGGAAGAATTTTATAGCATAGATTTCGGTTTTTTTTCCCAATGATTGAAGATTGCAGTGAATAAAAGATCCAAGTAGAAATCATAAATACCTAAAGAGATCGGTCCCTCAACAAAATCGCTGATCGGAAAGGAAGAGAAATAGGAATTTGACCGGAAAATCTGAATCTTCAATACCCTGTTGATGTGGGTGAAGGAAATTTGCAGAACTCTTTTGTTCCACCCTTTTTTCTTTCATTTTTATTTTATAATTTTTATTTTTTTTATTTTATGAGAATATTGTATGGATTATTCAATTTTGAGAGGTCAGCCATCGGCATCTGAAAGCCACGTTGTTCACAGTCTTTCCTTTTTCTATTCATCTGTAAATCTTTGCTAATTTCTCTTTTAATATTTTAAATTATATATAATTTCACATTTAATGAATTGCAAAGTTATTAAAACGAATTGGATCATCCCATTGCGTTTGAATTGTCTTCTACCCGTTTTTTTCTTTTTGTTATTTGGAAATATTTAATATTAGACTTATTTTCCTTTTTTTTTTTTTTTTTTCCGAATATGATATTTTTAAAATTCACAATTCTATTATCAATATATTAACTTAATTAGGCAATCTGTGGTGATATATCATTACATTTTTTTTGTTAATATGTTTTAGAGATATGGAGATTTACTAAAAATCTGTAAAACTCAATTCAATTATCAAGTATAAAGGACGCTACACTTATATTTATACTTAAAAATAACTTTTGTAAAAAGAAGTTATAATCTAATAATGTTGAAAGTTTGGGGCAGTTCAGAATAAAACAAAAGAGTGATGATAGAATTGAAGTCCGAAAGGAAAACTAAAGAAAAATCTGGGTTTGAAAAACAAATCATGAAGATCAATGATTTAAGGCAGAAGGGTTGCTGAGAGTTGGATTCTAAACTGAGGTTTATTCCATTTCCAAGCATCATACTCGAACAATCACAGATTAAGGCGCTGAAAGGTTCCTTCCTTAGTCTATGTAATCAAGAAAAAATAGTATCGACGAGTCGAATAACGGTGGCGGTACCCACGTTATTCCTCATCTTGTGAAATTTGAAAGATGAGCAATGCTAAGAGTAACACACAACAGGAGATGAATGCAGGCACTTCTACTATGCAACTTCACTTCAGTAAACTTCAACATGCCACTGTTTGTTCTTTTTAAGTTGTGAAAGCTTCTCTTCCCATTTCTCACCTCTTTGCTCGGCAACCTTCTTCAGAGTGTCCTGAATTCCAGGCATCATCCCCTTCAGTCCACAGAAGTATATGTGAGCCCCGCCGTCCAGGAGTTTAAAGATTTCGTCGCTGTACTCCTCAATTTTGTCCTGGACGTACATTTTCCCTCCACTCTTGTTCTTTTGCTCCCTACTAAGAGCTCGATCGTAGCGGAAGTTTTCAGGATAGTCCTTCAGATACTTGCTGAATTCATCGTCGTATAAAAGACTATCGACGTTTGCCACTCCGAGAAACAGCCAAGCAAGTCCACCGAATTTGAATGTCGGTACAGACTCCATGAACATTCGTCGGAGATAACCTCTGAATGGAGCAACGCCAGTGCCAGTAGCGATCATTATGTGGGTGGCATTTGGGTCGTCTTCAGGAAGAAGCATTATCTTGCCAGATGGACCTGAAAAAACAGATGCTTTTCTTTAACTAACAGCAAAAACGAAAAGAAAAACATGATTTCATCCTAAACTTTTGATTTTTGGTTGAATAAATCCTTAAGCTTTGTGTTTAATAGACCCTTCACCTATTCAACATAGCATAAGCATAGCCATAGCCATCCAAACCGCAGGAAAAAGAAAGCAAAATTTTACTAGCTATCCACGATTCTCCTCTTACTCGTTCGCATACCCCTGGCTTTCCTTCATACTCCCCGTCAATGAACCATCAATATGTACGAGGACATTAAATAAACGAAGATTTGGCCAGTTGTGGTAACTCACCGGTCCATCGACAAGTACAACTCCGATCAATTATCATTGACAGCCTGCTAGCACCAGGCAACATAGACTGATGTACTATGTCGAACGATCAAAACTTCAGTGTATATTTCTTAAGAAAAGACGAATTGTGATATTTATCTTTATATATTATGTTGATCCAAACAAGTGACTGCTGAACTTAAAGCCTTCATAGCATCAAATCAATTACTAAAAATCAATATCTACTAGTTTGTCATTGTATAGCGAGCTCACAAAGAAATCTTATTTTCTGGAAAATATGCAAACCTGTGATCTGAACTTTATCTCCGGGCTTCGAGTCGCATAAGAAGTTGCTGCATACTCCATTCTTTAAAGGATCCTCCTTTCCAGTTTCAGGGTCATAATAAACAGCACGACGAACACATAAACTAGCTGTCTTGCCATCAAAAGAATCTCCATACCTAGTTGATGCAATTGAGTAAAGGCGAACATTGTGTGGATTCCCAGGTTTCTTCGGGTTTTCACCCTGTGAAACAAGTGAAAAATTATTAAGTTCTAGCTGAAGCTTAACAAAAAGATGTCCACAAACAAAGACATGGCAGAGGTTACAGTGGAAGGTAAAGATACCTTATTAAAAGTCTGGTAAATATCATAAGAGCTAAAACCCAAACATATTGTAACATAAACAGAAATTCATGATTGAAATAAAACTTGGATCTCAATAAACCATCTTGAAAGTCTAATAAAATGTACTAACACTGAACATCCTAGCCTGAGAAACTATATCAAGACTCAATGCAAAAGCAGGGGAATGGCAAAAGCATGAGTGACTTACAGGAGGAATAACACCATAACTCTGACCTTCCCAATAGGGAACATTGCCGCCATGATCAATTACAATATGACAAGTCTCTCCCGGTGCTTTTGGACCAACGAGTCTTTCAACCGAAACGATAGTTGCAGTGTAAGGTGATTTTGGTTTGTATATATTCAATGGAGGCTCTTTGGCATCTTCAAGGTCTAAAGGTGCAACAGATACCTTCGGTGCACTTGTTTGTGGCACGGACATGCATACTGTTTGCCAACCTCTTGCTCGAGTGCCCCTTAGATTCAAGTTCAGAGCTGAGACAGGTGACCATGATTTATCATGGAATCTTAGGCTATTTGTCTGTAACAATGTCATATGGAGTTATAATGAGATTTATAACACATTAAATAGAGTATAAATTTGAGCATCTACCTGACAAATGCAAGAAAACAACACAGAGAACAAGCATATTTTAAGTTCTATTTCCACTAATCAGTCGACTTTCAAACGCACTTGCATGCCTTTCCCTTATTGAATTACTAACCGGGGAAACGTCTATCAATGAAAACATAAAATTCTAGAGTTGTCCCATGACTGACTTCTCCACCCTGCCCGTCACTCCCGCACCACAGAAGGAGACATGATAATTTCACCAACCCATGTGTGTATTTTGAACCAGCAGATCCAATAATAAATATAGACAATCCCTTTGGGCAATATAATGACCAGATGTACCTCAAATTATGTAGAAATCTCACAAAACCCATAAGGTTATGATCTTGATGGTTTGTGCGAAGGGTACTCTCGTTTGTTTATTGCAGTCAATATCATTAGTTGAACTATACGCACAAAAGCTAATAATTGGAAGTTCTGAAATGTCGTTGGTCATTGATGTTCCTTTCGTAAGTACTCGCATGTATAATAGGGAAAGAGAAAAAAAAAAAGTCGGAATTTAATACCTTAAACACTGATCTCTTGACAGACAAATCATTTCCAACTGGAACAGCGACAGCCACCTGAAAGAATTCCACAACAAAGATTTAAATATATAGCGAAAGGAAAACAAGCGTGTGAGGTTTTTTTACACATGCAACAGCGAAATAAAAAGGAACCCTAAAACCCCGCGAAACTTATTCGCCGAACAATAGCCCCACTGAGCTCTGGGGAGGGAAAAATTCAAGACGATCCAATACGAATAAAAGAAAAGCAAAACGGAAGAAAATCCAGAAAAGCATAAGGATTCTGCACCACTTCCGACGAATTAAAGGCGGGAAAGCAGAAGAGATGCTGTAAACGAACCTGAGAAAATGTGGAATGGGCCATTTCCGAAATGCAGAGGCTGTGTATGAGGAAGAAAGCGATTGTAGAATTGGGGAAGATGGGTAGGTCTTATATGGAATGGAGGATCATACACAGAAGAGAAGGAAGTCAGCACTCGATCAAAATCGCGGCTTGTTGTGACCCTTTGGGGACTTGCAAGGGACGGGTTTGGCTTTTGGCTGCTCCAACTTTTGTCATATTTAATCCTAAGTTCACGTGATCGAGCCTACTTGAAAGCCGAATAATTCTATATTAAAATCTTAAATTACTATAGGTATGCTATTCCATTCAACGATCTTGTAGTTGAGGCACGGTTAATAGACCTCTCAAAATCACTCCATCACCGGCGAGTTTGAATTGTTACATCTTCATCATTTTTTCAGATAAAATGATCGAAAACCCTACTCCTACTTTAAAATTTATCCTTATCTAATATTGAAATTTAAAATAATATAATTGTTTTGGTATGTTTTAGAATTGGCTAATAATACAAAAAAAAAATAATTATTTGAGAGAGGTGAAAAGAATAGTAAATAAGTTGTCAATAAACAAACCCGTTCGCAAAGAAGGAAATAAATTCAATAATAATAACAAGTTAGGATAACTATAACCTTTATAAATATGGTATTTTTTATTTTTTGATAAACTTTAATTCAAATAATTTAAGTAACAAAAAATAGGAAGAATATAATCTAATTATAACATATGTTATGGGTTTTAATATTATTAAGTGTTAATTTATTTTTCTAAAAAAGTTTTTTTTAATAAGATTTACAACCATTAAAATGACTTAATTAATAAAAAATAAAAAATAAATTATTTTGTAGTGCTTTATTGACTTCTTTGGACCCCACACCGACAACAATAAAAAGTATTTTATTTATTTTCTCGTTTTGTTTTATGTGTTTTTAATGGCGGAGGCGTACCCCAGACGTGCTGGTGGACCCCACTCAACCAGCGACCAGCAGCCACGACCCCATCCACTCACTTAATGGTGGACCCCACTGAGCTCCTGGTCTAAATTGGCCACCTCATCACTCGGTCAGCAGATTTCTCTGCCCGAACTGCCCCCTCCCCCATTCTCATCGCCGCTCAGACACGCGGCAACAAAAAAAAAAAAAGAAAAAAAAAAAGAAAAAAGGAGTTTAGATGAAACACAAATATGCTCTTATTGGATTCTGAGCTTCCTCTGTTCGCTCTTCTTAAACTAAGAAATCAAGGCGAAGAAAGACGACGAAAAAACTACAACAAACACACAGTCTTCAGTTGCAGAAGAAGAAAAAACGAATTTGGGGGTGAGAATTAACGGACCTCCTTCCACAATTCCCGCTCTCCAGGTGAACTTCGCATTTCGAAACCCTACTTTTTCCCCGCTCTTCCCATCGCTTGCTTGTTCATGAATTTTGGAATCCTTGAACATCTTTGTTTGTTATCCTTTTCGAATTCTGAGCTTCTAGGTTTCATGAATTTTCTTTGTTGGCCTACCCGATTTGGGCTTTTTATCTGGTCACGGATTCTGTTTGGAAAAAGAATGACGAGAATTGTTGTAGAACACTTCTATTAGATGATTTTTTAGTGGGTTCTTATTTTAAATTGGATGATTGTCTGTTTCGGTTGTGTCGATCGAATTACTTGGAACTAGTTATCAGATAATGATTGTACGGGCTGAAGTGACCGTTCTTCAGTCTAATGTTCATATCTGTATCCTGGTTTGTTGGGCATCAACCAGAAAGCAGAAGTTATTGGAGGACTGAGATGACTCTGTAGTGTCTGGTAAAATGGGGACATAATGAATTTCACATGTTATGTACGTCAATCTCATCCAACTGGTGTGCACTTACCTTGTCGACTTCTGAAGGACTGAAGTTAAAAAAAGTTACCTTGTGGACTTGCTGCACGATATTTACTATTCGTTAGGTTGATCTCATCTTGGATTGATTACATATGCTTCATGTACTTTGCATCTAAATGCCATAAATTGCTAATTGTTTTATTTGAAAATGGAATATTCATATCCAGTTGGTTTTTGGCCTCTCTGGTCTTGCTGCTGTTTTGATACCAGTGTCGTATGAGGGTTACTGGTTCCTGTCACCGTTCACAACTTTAGGGGTTTATGTTTTATTTTTTTTGACAATAATAATAAATAAATAAAATTTATCTATACAAATACTATTTTTTAAAAAAATAATTTCATTGAACAAATGAAATTATAAAAGAGTGGAGTGAAGTTAATCCTGAGGATAACAAAAGGTTCTTCTATATGATACAAGGAGAACTGAAGTTGCAAGAGCTAAAGAAACGTAAATTTTATCCCTGGTAAGGAAACAAGAGGCCCCAAAGGATCTTCTTCTCTTTGTCAAATGGGTGGCCTTCAAGCTCGAAGGAGATGAAAGAAGTTGATGTTGAGAGTGCCAGCCTACTTCCAATTGAAAATATGAATGATGAAGCCCCATCGGCAAAACAAAAGGCGTGGAAGACATGACTTTGAGATTTGATTTTTTTTTTCTTGGCTAAATTCTTGCATTCAGAGAACAAGCTTGGGGTGCGAGTCGAATTTGGAAGCCTTCATTGAACATAAGTATTAATGATTTCATGATTAAACTCCCAAATATAGAACTTGGCTTTCTTGGGATTTTTGGATTGTCAAAGAGCTTTGTAAATCTTCTTTCAGCTAATGGAAGTCAAAGATTAGGCTGTTATAAGATTAAACCCTGATTTGTTAGCCACTCATCTCAATCTATCTAAAAGAGAGGTAAAGGGAAAATAGGAAAATAATGGAGAGAAGTCCATTCAAGAACCTCCTCATTTGCAACAGCATTACAAATAGAACTCATATTTGCCTCATTTCAAAGAAGACTAAAGTTGCAAGGTTAAATGATTTCAGACCCATTAAGTGTAATTAGCTTTCTTTATAAGATAATCGCCAAATTTCTCAATGAGTGCCTTAAGAAGGTGGTACCTTCTTTATTATGCGACTCTTATTTTGATAAGAAGAAATAGAGAAATTTCATTGATGAATGAAATTTCCATCATTGGGAGATTACAAAACCTTGTGATAAAGAGAAGATAGTGGAAAATAATGTACCATGGACCTTGTGATCTAGGTGCTGGCAAGAAATCTAAGCTAGTACCCATGTTATAGTCCCCCTTTAAGTCTGTACAGTTTGATGTCTTGTGAGATCCCACATCGGTTGGAGAGGAGAACGAAACATTCTTTATAAGGATGTGGAAACCTCTCCCTAACAAATGTGTTTTAAAACCGAGAGGCGACGACGATATGTAACGAGCCAAAGTGGACAATATCTGCTAGTGGTGGGCATGGGTTGTTACAAATGGTGTTAGAGCTAGGCATCAGGCGGTGTGTCAACGAGGACGTTGGGCCGTGAAGAGGGGTGGATTGTGAGATCCCACATTGGTTGAAGAAGGAAACGAATCATTCTTTATAAGAGTGTAGAAACCTCTCCCTAGCAAACGCGTGTAAAACCTTGAGGCTGTCGATGATACGTAACGAGCCAAAGCAGATAATATCTGCTAGTGGTGGGCTTAGGCTATTACATGTCTCTTCTGAGGCATCAGATAAAATTTAAATCATACGAAGTAGATTAGCTAGACCCTTGTGCACGATGACTTGTCCTAATCAAGTTAAGAAAAGGATTTTAGGTTATAATCACTTTTTCACTTGGATGAGGTTTTTGTTTCTGAAGTTTGTCTTTTTTTCCTTTTTTAAGAGTCACTCTATTTGGGATTAGGGGATTTCCACTTCTCATGATTACACATGACTGAATGTTCCATTGTGCTTTGTGGGTTTCTTTTTCTTTTAATATAACTTTTAGGACTTCCCATCCTATTTTCTTTGGATAATTTTTTTGTAAATTATTTGTTCATTATTTTGTTTCTTGCATGTGTATGTATGTATATATTCATGGGTCGTCATGTTGGTCAAGAGAGCAAACTATTGCCTAGATGTCTTCAAGGTCATGAAATTAACATCTAATGGTAACTTAAGAGTCCTGAGATTTTTTATATGAAAATACTTTATGTTCAGATTGCTCCCATGTTAGATTAGTTAAGATGTACATAAGTTGGCCTATACGGCCATGATTAGGTATAAAAATTGATAAAATGAAAATTCCTTTCACCAATAATGAACTAATGAGTTTTTGAGAATATTACTTAACCTTCAATATTCTGAATTTCTTTTGGTTATGGGTCTAGCTGTGCATACATCCTGGCATCAAATAGGGCTTTCTTTTGTGTCTGCATCCTTTATTGGAGTTAGCTTCAAAATAAAACCACTAGACCCTTGTCACATTATTCCTTGTACCCAATTCCATATCTATCCCAATGTCATAAAGCTGACAGATCCCCTTTCTTAAGTGTCAGGTTTCATTTGGTGTGCACTACCACCCCATGACTTCCTCTGTCCACGATCATTCTGGTAACTCGATCAGTCTCTTGTTCCTATTTTATGATGTTTGGTTTTATATTCTAGTTATATTTCAGTCTATGGTATTTTAATCCGTTTTTAAGTTTTCTATTTTTCTTTGCATCAGCTCAAAATAGCATCTGTTCTGCAGTTTGCTTTTTGATCTTTTGGGAAGAGAAAATTAATATGCTTTGCTTTCTTTCTTCACTATGAATTATGTACATGTTTCGCCATGAATTATGTACATGTTATGTTATCTTTTTTAATAGGAAACATAACTTTCATTGATGGGTCAATAATACAAAAGAATGGGAGGGGAGATAGATATCTGCATATTAGCAACTATCGAAGAGATAGAGTAATTACGAACAGCTTTTTAGGGTACATTTGTCATAAGTACTTTTTTTTAACTCCATTTTAAACTCTAGCAAAAAAAAAAAAAAAAAAAAAAAAAAAAAAAAAAAAGGATNTCACTATGAATTATGTACATGTTTCGCCATGAATTATGTACATGTTATGTTATCTTTTTTAATAGGAAACATAACTTTCATTGATGGGTCAATAATACAAAAGAATGGGAGGGGAGATAGATATCTGCATATTAGCAACTATCGAAGAGATAGAGTAATTACGAACAGCTTTTTAGGGTACATTTGTCATAAGTACTTTTTTTTAACTCCATTTTAAACTCTAGCAAAAAAAAAAAAAAAAAAAGAAAGAAAGAAAGAAAAGGATGATTGCTTGGCATCTAGACACAGAACTCTTTAATTTCTTGGGGGGTACAATAGAATGGTAAAACAATTGGAATGACTCCACCAA